GTTCAAAGGATAAGGCTCAACAGCGCCCCCCAGCAGTGGAGATATGTTTTTTTCTGAGCAAAATCTAGCAGATATTGCCTCCAGAGGTTCAAGCGCAAGTGAGCTCATTTCATCAGACTGGTTCAAAGGGCCACAGTTTCTGTGGAACAAAGAAATCCCTCCAGCTGCAGAGATCGACATGAACTTACCTCTCGGAGGTCCAGAGGTTAAAAGGGTACACGCTCTGAACACACTCAAAACAGAGATGAAAGATTTATCAGACAAGTTGACAAAGTTTTCTTCTTGGAACAAAGCTACTCAAGCCATTGCTCGACTGATTCGCTGTGCCAAGAGAGATAAAACAACAGGACACAGTACAGTACAAGAAAGACAAAACGCACAATGTGTCATTCTAAGGGATGTACAAGCAAGTGAATATAAAGAGGAGATAAAGATGCTCAAACATGGAAAGGCACTTTCTCACAAAAACAGACTGTTTCAGATGGACATTTTTCTTGATAGTGATGGACTCCTTAAGGTGGGAGGAAGGCTCAAGGCTGCTTCTTTCTCATCCACACTGAAACATCCAAYGCTAGTTCCAAAAGGTCACCATGTCACTCAGCTAATAATTGCTCATTTCCACAGTAAAGTGCAACACCAAGGGAAAGGACTGACAATCAATGAGATCAGATCAAATGGAATTTGGATTCCAAGCATCAATAAAGTCATAGCAAACTTTATCCACCAATGTGTAAAGTGTCGCAGACTCAGAAGAGGAACRGAAGAACAAAGAATGTCTGATCTCCCAACAGAACGTTTGGATCCAACGCCGCCATTTACMTTTTGTGGAATGGACTGTTTCGGTCCCTTTCTAACCAAACAAGCTCGCAARGTGAATAAGCGTTATGGACTTCTTTTTACATGTCTTTGTTGCAGAGCAGTGCACATAGAAATGTTAGACGACATGACTACAGACGTCTTTATCAATGCACTTCGCTGTTTTATAGCCATAAGAGGAACGGTCAGTGAGATTAAGTGTGATCAAGGAAGCAACTTTGTGGGAGCTAAAAATGAACTGCAGGAAGCTTTAAAACAAGTGGACTCTAACCGCATTACTGCATTTCTGGCCGAGAAACAGTGTGACTTCAAAATGCATACACCTCATTCARGCCATACAGGAGGTGTATGGGAGAGGCAAATCAGAACAGTTCGAAACATTCTGTGCTCAACYGCTTCACTTTCATCAGGCAGAATGGACGACACATCTTTACGGACATTCTTTTATGAAGCAATGTCGATTGTGAACAGCAGGCCTCTTACAGTGGACAACYTCAGTGACCCAAACAGCCCAGAACCGTTGACCCCAAATCACCTGCTCACTATGAAGTCAAAGGCAGCCCTGCCCCCTCCAGGAAAATTCATCAAAGAAGACATTTATGCCCGGAAAAGATGGCGGCAGGTGCAGTACCTGTCAGAGCAGTTTTGGTCACGTTGGAAAAGGGAGTATCTAGCCAATATCGCAATAAGGCAGAAATGGCACACACCAAGGAGAAACTTGAAAGTTGGAGATGTTGTCATGGAGAAAATGGACGATTTACCTCGAAGTGAATGGAGATTAGCACGAGTAGTGGACACRACATCAGACAATGATGGACTTGTGAGAAAGGTAAAAATTCRTTTTGGAGAACGAAGAATGGTAAAAGGACACTTATATGGAAGACCAACCATTGTTGAACGTCCAGTGCAGAAACTGGTCTTGCTTCTAGAGACTGCTTGACAACTCATCTTTTCTATTGATAATCTTCACWGATTAAAGTTTATGACTTTTGCATTTATGGACTACTTTTCAAAGACTAAGGTTAAAGGTCATTTCTTCATGGAAAATCATTTTTGCTACATTCCTGGTTGTCATTTAAGCCCTAATGATTTGGTGGGAGTGTAACAGACCTGCAAATGTTTTATTGTGAAATTTGTTCTTTATTTGTTTACTTAATTTACTATTGAGGTCGATGCTTTTATTTTGAAGGACGTTTTACAGAGCGACGTGCAGGTGCCATAAAGTAGAACTAACTGTGGTAAAATGCTGTAATAAGTTTAACATGAGCAGAAAACGTGTCTTCCCTGTGACTGAACTGAAGAAGAGAGAAAATGTCATCTATTGAATAATTTACAGGTTCTTTAGCACCTGGTTGATA